AAATGAAGAAACATTCAAGAAGAAATTATTGAAATGATTATTAGAAGACAATTAGAAGTTTATTTATTTATTTATTTATTTAAGAAATTTAAATTTATGTATTGTAGTTTACCTCTTTTAATGGATCAATCTAGCATGTTTAAAATTATTTTGTGCTTATTTATTATTAATAGAATATTTTAATTTATTTCTAATTAATGTGTATTTTTTTACATAAATTATTTAATAAAAAATATATAATAGATAAAATAAAATAAAATAATGATAATTATTATTAAAAAATAGATAAAATAACATAAAATCTTCATGTAATTTTCACAAGTGGCTGAAAATCCTCATAATTTTAAAATTTCAAAAATTTTATTAGCAATTTTTAAAATATTGTAAAAAAACTCCATCAGTTGATTCTGCTATTGTATGTCACAAATCTGAAATATAATATTTGGTCCATAAACTGATATATATCTATACGAAGTTACTAAAATACCTTGGTGCTTTTATTAAGGGTGTGTTTGTTTGAAGGATTTTGGTGGATTTCCACTATTCATCCAATTTTTTCTCCCTAAAAACATCAAATCAAACACCTATTTTTTATTTTTTATATTATACTAAAAATCAATTTTACTTTCAAAACATCACATCAAACCCTATTTATATCACATCGTACAACTATTCAAATTCAAAATTTTTACTATTCAAATCCCAACTCAAAATCCAAACCCTCAAACAAACACACCCTAAATATACTATTCTCTCATCCACTTTATTTCACAGCGTCTTCCAGCTCCGATCAGATTAAGCCGCCGCCGAAGAGAAAGTTGCAGCGGCAGCCGCCGGAGAGGCAATTAAGAGGGATCAGAATGAGGAAATGGGGCAAATGGATTGCCGAGATCCGGGAACTCAACAAGCACTCTAGGCTCTGAGTTGGGTCCTACACCTCCCCTGTCGCTGCCGCGCGGGCCTACGAGTCTTCCACCTCCGTGGTCCCTCCGCCCGCCTCAACTTTCCCGAGTGTGTGCTCGAAGACGTCGCCGCCGGAGAGCCACTCGATTTGTCCGCCTCTGCCATTAGGAAGAAGGCGAAGAAGGTGGGGCCGTGGGTTGACGCACTGCAGGGCGCCGCCGTGAAGCCGGGTAGTTGATTCGAGAGGTTTTGGGGGTCCGTGAAACCCGATTTCAATGAGTATTCAAGCCCATTAAGCTCCGAGGAAAATTGAATTTTCGATATGCAACTGTATTTCAGTTTGTGTTATAAAATTAAATTAAATTAATGAGAAGCGGGTTGGCAGACCATAAATCTAATCCACGAGTAGAAGAAGATGACAATGGAGATATGGAGAGGAGAGAAGAGGGAAGAAAGAAGAAGAGCGAGCAGAGAGGAGGAAGGAAAGAAAAAAATGGAAGATAAAGAAGGTAATGGCGATATTAAAAAATATAAGGTCTTGACGGTCATTTATGATGAAAGTTATCATCTGTTAGTATGATTTAGAGAAAATGACAAAGTATGCTACAAAATTACAAGTAGATTTTATCGAATTTTCGAGAATTTTTAAAAAATTTTAAAAGTTATAAAAGAATTTTATGTTATTTTGTTTAAAAAATAAAAAAATATTATGTCATATTATTTAATATTATATTTTATATATTAAATAGTTAAAATATAATTATAATACATAATTATAATATTACTTTCATCTGATAAGAATGATATTGTTTGAGCTTGTATTTGTATTGTAATAGACTAATAGAGATATTTTTATATTTTTTTCTTAATTTATACTAATTAATATAATAATTGATATTCAAAATCAACATACAAAAAGTTCATGGTGCTTTCTTATCCGATGAAAATAGTATATAAAATATAAAATACTTCATCCATCCAAGTAAGAAGTATATATTTATTTTTGACGTGGAGTTTAAGAAATAATCGTATTTTAATTATAGTTGATAGATAAAATTTGTGTAATGACTTTTTTGCTCTTCTTTTTGATATAAAAGTAATAATGTAATGTAAAGTAAAAATAGTTATGAAAAAAAAAAAATATTTAATGAAATGGTTATTTTGAAATCGAATATCCCAAAATAAAAAAATAAATACTTTATAGTTAAACAGAAAAATTATATTATATAAATATATTTTTTCTCTCCTCCATGGTAGAGGAGAGAGAATAAATTGACAACGTTCCTACAAAGACCTTTCAGTAGCTCGTGTTTAAGTATTTATTTATTTATTTACTAGCGTGTAATTCGTCTGATATATGTGTTATTTTTTTATTAAATTATATTTTAATTTAATATTTTTTAGTAAATAATATTTATAGTTATATATATACATAATATATATTACTTGAATCAAATCAATTTAAAAAATAACATACAAAATAATAATAAAAAAATAATTTATAGAAAATAAGAATAACAATTTAAAAACATATGTATACGCAAATGGAAATACTACAATAGAAATAAAATTTTTATATGTTAAAACATAAAATTTTTTGTATGAATTTTTCAAATATTTTTTTAAATAAAAAAAATCCAAAATTTAAACATAATCTGAAAGATTTATTAAAATATTATATTAAAAACCAAATCAATTATAAAAATTGCATATACAATAAGAATAAAAAATTAATTAGTAAAATAATATAATAAATAATTAAAAATACATACATTGTATTTTTTTGTTTCTTTCTAATTTTTTTTTTAATTATTACCGTCCCCATTTGGGCGCATATGCATGTGCAAGTTTCGCAGACCCCACCTGCATCTGAGGGGGCGTGTTGGAGACTCCGTTTTCGAATATATGATTAATTGTTGTATTTTCCTAACAATTCGACCTTTAGGTGAGACGGTCATTCAACACCCAACAGATTAGTAGAAACTGAAAAGAATACATAACAATAAAAATAATAAAATTAATATAATACGATAGTTAATTTATACATAATCAAGTTTAAAATTTTAATTGTTATTTATTATCTCAATAAATTTAAATTTTATTAGATTATTTTTTATTCTAACAAATTTTAATCAATCATCCAAGTTTATTATTTTTTAAAAATAATAACTCTAAAATTATGAAAATGCACGAAATTAAATACGTTGTCAAACATATATATTTCTAATATAGAAATGCCACATCAGTGGAACATACTCTCAAAGAAAATAAAAACATTAATACAATTTTTGTAAGTTTTTAAATTGCTATGATATGATAGAAAAAAAAATAAAAATAGAAGAACAGTTCATATAGAAATTGATAGTCTAATCATATTTTTAAAAAGGAAAAAGAACTATATAATACCAAAATGAAAAAAAAAAAAAAAAAAAAAAAACATTTCATGTTGGCGGATGGAATAGTTGGATAAGAAGAAAAAAAAAGATAGTCTCGGCATGATTTAGAGGTGTAGGGGTGGACTTATAACCATGAGGTCGGGGGTTCAAATCTCCGACGCCTTCAGGTCACCTGCCACACATGATTCGTCTAGTGTAACTTGTCTGTCGGATCTAGTTTCCAGGGTATATTAAATTCGATCGAGGGTTTACGGATTCAGTTGCTTTCAAACCGAATTCGATGTGGCAACCCAATTATAATAAATTTGAATCAAGAATATCGACTCAATTATATATACAGGACAATACAAACCCGATATCGGCTGATTTCACCCAATTAAAACCAACTGCCAGGTCTAATAATAAACAAACCAAAATTCTCCAGTTAGCCGTCACGGACGCACCATACTTTCAAATTTGTAAAGATAAGCTCACATTAGATATAGAAAGAAGCAACCTATTTTTTTAATTCTTTGAATAGATGCAATTGGACAACTACTAATGCAAAAAGAACTATTTAAAATCTACACTATCATTTTTTTTTTTAGTTGATCATTCTACATCATCATCCTAATTTTTTTATTTTATAGCAGTAACACATGTGCAATTAAACAATATAAAATAATATATTTGTTCAAACTCTCGATGTCTCTGCATCTTATTTGTCTTTTTATATATATATTGGCCTATTAGAATTTGTTTGATCAAACTTATATGGTAGACTATTAGGTTCAATTGAAAATTTATTAAAGCATACTTTAAGAATTTTCGGACCTAAAAACTCGAACTGTTAGAAAAACGCAATCATTAATCATATATTTACAAACGGGAGTTCCTGTTATGTATAATACTCTCTCCGTCCAATAAAAAAGTATACGTATTTTTATTTTAGACTGTTCAATATAAAGTAACAATTCTATTAAATACTCAAATTATTTTCATAAATACTTTTACTTTATATCACATCATTACTTTTTTTTTTAAAAAAAATACAGGCAAAGATATTATTATATTACTTTTAATTACTAACTACAATAAAAATATTATTATTTATTAAACTTCGCATAAAAAATAAATACTCCCTTCGTCCATAAAATATGTATACATTTACTTTTGGCGCGGAGATTAAGAAATAATAATATTTTAATTATAGTAGGTAGGTAAAAGTAGTGAAATGACAATTTTGCCCTTACTTTTTTGGTATAAAAGTAATTATGTGATGTAAAGTAGGGGTATTTGTAGAAAAAATAGAGTATTTAATAAAATGATTACTTTGTAATTGGACGTTCCAAAATAGAAACACGTATACTTTCTAACTGGACGGAGGGAGTATTTGATTTGTAGTCCGACGGAGATAGTATTTATTAAACTATGTTGTATATATAGTGACATAATAATAATAATAATAATAATAATAATAATAATTTTTTGAGTTTGGATGATATATTTAATAAGATTATATTTCTGTGTTCTTCTTCTTGTTATTATAAATATTTTTAATAAAAAAAGTCATTCCACGTCAGATTCGATCCAATCTACTAATAGATCACGCCCGAGTCCGAGTCAAGTCCATTTTTAGGTGCTCTTTGAAATACATATATTAATAAATCATATATTGTACCACACGGCTGCTGCTCTATATATAATATGCATCAGCTGCTGACGAATTAATACATTACATTAGTTACATACAAACATATATACATAAATAGATAAGCTCATTGCCATTATAGTTCTAATTTGATCATCACTAAAAGAAGAATAATCGAAGATGGAAGGCTCAAGATTTATGGTGATTATGGTAATGGTTCTTTGCTTCAGCCTCCTCCGATTCGGCGCAACACGAGAAGACGAAGAGCTGGCGTGCATGAAAGTCCCCGGCAACGAAGTTACCGAATGTGTAAAGCTGCTGGCGCGCGGCTACAAGATATTTTGCTGCGACGGGCTGGATGCTGTCGACTACACGTGCCTGTGCACCGCCACCGGGCCTCTGCCGGGCATCCCAGTTCCTATTACATTGATTAATATGGGAGGATCCTGTGGTTTGGATCTTCCCCAAGTCTGCTCTCAGGGTACGAGTTAGTTAGAGCATCTCCAATCCAGCGTCATTAATGGCGCTGGGTTGGCTTATTTGACATAGGTTATCTCCGATCGACGCCAAATTCAATGTCACTTTTTGACGTTGCTATAGTGCAACGTCAATTTTGGTGTTGCACTGTAGCAAAAAAATGACGTTGCTTTATTATTATTATTATTATTATTATTTTAATTTTTAAAATTATAAATTTGACTTTTAAATTTAATTTTTATTTTTTTTAATTTTTAAAAATTTTATTTTAAATTATAAAAATAAAAAAAATTGTTTAAAATAATAGGAAAAATTGAATATTTGAAGAATAATAGTAAAAAATAGAGTTATAGTTGGAGTAAAATTACTGTAGCAACTGCATATTTGAAGTTAAAATTAGATAAATGGAGTTGATGGGTCAGAGATGACCTTACTAAACCTCTATCTATGTCCATGGGATCCTCTGTTTTAAAAATAAACTCTATTATTCTATCTTTACATACATAATGTGTATATATACATAAATAAAAATATACATAGATAGCAGATTGGATTCTCTATCCCATTAACATACCTTTATCCCCTCACACATAATGGGTGTGTTAATGGGACAGATGATCCGATCTGCTATTTATGTATATTTTTATTTTTATTTATTGGTAGTTTTCTCTTTAAAAAATTATTATATTAGTTGTTTATTTTTTATTTCAAAAATTATATCGAAAATGTATTCCTAATTAAAACATCACGTCTAATAATGCTTACTTGCAGTGACGGAACCAACATAAAAGTTCACGGGGAAAAATATCAATTATTTTTTTTTATTGATTCAATGTTATTTTGTTTTATTCATAGTACATTCTGAAAAAAAATAAATAGAAATTTTAAATGTTTTAAAAAAAATTTCAACAAAATTACATAAAATTTAATATTTTTTATTATAAAAAATAAAATTCAAAGATTAAAAGTATAAATCAACGTATGAATAAAATTTTTATGATTTTTTATATTATAAAATAAAAAATTAAGGGGGACAAATTACTATATTATATATAATTTTATTTTTTTTATGCAAAAAAAAAATGCATATATTTTGGGGGCTTGGGCCCTTGGCCCCATGTAGTTCCGCCCATGTGTTGTATTGCATCAAATATTTTGTTGTGTATTTTTTTTTTACTATGTTCAAACTAATTTAAAATTTAAAAATACTTTCAAAATATATTTAAACACAGCTAATGAGATTTTTTTTCTTAATTTTTGAAGCAGATGAGGAGACAAGCTAGTTCTACGGATTCGGATTGGACTTGCTCTGTCGAATGCACGCAATAATAATAATAATAATAATAATAATAATAATAATAATAATTTCCAATGTTTCTTGTGTTGTGTTTCTTACACTGTAATAAATTCAGTGATGCACTTGTGGATTTATGTTGTATTTTATTTGTGGTTGTTGTATATGTTTATTTATACATGACTGTTGAGAATTTCGCAGTTGTGTATTGAATAATAAAACCTTAACTGTATTTTCTAAATGATCACTACAAAAAAAATATCAATTTTGTAACGAGATTTTTTCGTTCTTAAATCCACTTTTTCCGTTACTAATGATATTAGAGACGGAATTAGTGATAGAATTACGTTAGCTACGTGAACTTTAGGAACGAAATTCCGTTACAAATATGGTATTTTTTTGTAGTGGATGTACAGATAGAATGAGAATTTAGCAGTTGTGTATTTCTTGTAGTGTAATACAAAGTGTTAATCAAAATAAAGAAACTAGATTGAGATTTTATTAACGAAATCGACAAAGAATTTGAACTAGATTTGACTAGGCTCAGTTTAAAACCAACTCGAAAATTCAAAATCAACACAAACACACCCAATCAGCAACGAAAACAAAAATACTGGCCCAAAACCAACTCAACATAACGAAAATATCTCCACAAAAAATATACAAGGCAACTGGAACAAAACCACACGCCTAACAAGTTAAATGAGCCCCTTACGGCTACGAACGACACAAATAGGGAGAGAATCACGCCAAGGAACTCCACATAAATAGGAGGAAAGCACCATCGCAGAATCACCGAAAAAAGTCGCCGGAAAAGAGGTCACAAGTGAGAGAGGGAGGAGGAGGCTAGAGAGGGAAATAGCTTTAGAGAGAATAAGTGTGCATATAGATTGACGACTCCCTCACCTTCTCACTCAGTGTATACTTAGGGTTTAATACGATAGACGGCTCAAATGCAAGATCTAGATTCAACGGCAGAGATGAAGCTTTATAAAAAGACGTAGATCTTAGAGGCAGGTCAGAGCAGCAGGTTTTCGGGTCGCGGGCGGTATAGTGGATCATGGGACTAGGTTGAGTTAAGGGGCGCGGGTCAAGGCGTGGGCTCGGGTCGCGGATCTGAGAAGTGGGCCAGGGCCATGGAGTATTGGGCTGCTAATTAAGTGTATTTGTATTAATAATTGGGGTGGATGCATTTGAACAAAAAAATCCAACACAAAGCTCTTAATTGTATTACACACGAACAAATTTCATAGTTGTGTGTTTCTTGTAGTATACTAGATTGGAGCTTTGTATTACACATGAACATTAAAGTGATTTCGGTCCGCCATTGACCTCTTTTTAGGATAGAATGATGATCGAAGTTACATACTCCGCGGCGAACCAAACGTATGATTTTCACTGGATTTTTTAGAAAATTTTAACTAAGAATTTTTTTAAAAAATTAGTTTTTTTTTTTTTTTTTTGAAAACAAAGCAAATGTATTACAAAAGAAAAAAAGAAAACTAATATTTTTTTTTAAAGAGAAATTTTCACTGATTTTTCCTTTGAATTTAATGGCAAAGTAAAAACTTATTATAAAAATGTACTCCACTATTTTTGTAACCTTCTCCACATTCCACAGATATTGCAACTGAGCCTATTTAAAATAAAAAAATAAAAAACAAAAAGTGATCTTAGATGTTTGGTCTCGGTCCACGAGGCCCAGACTCATCTATGACTTAAATATGGGCAATTTATAATTAATTGATCCATTTTATAATAATTAGAGTACAATAATCATTTAAAGTGAATTTAATATCTTTGTGTTTCCATGTGAGATAGTGTCTCTACAACTTTTTTTTCTTTCTCTTTCACATTAATATACCTAACAGTTCCTCATATGAATTAGAAGAGGATGATGAAATGATTTGAGGAAAGAAAAATGAATTTTGTATAGAATAAATAGCTTTTTTTTTTTTTTTTATAACATTTTTTTTAATAATATATAGTATTTCTCAACTATCCAGTTCAGTTACCTGGTAAATAAACTACATTCTGACACAAAAAGTCACGTTTTACATCCGTTCTCATTGTTTAGATCATTTTGCCCATAGGACCGGTTATAGTTTCTTCAAGAAATGATCCTAAACAGTTCTCTTTTGAAACATTCTACTCCTCTAAGTTATTTCGAATCATATTCTCTATTTTCGCAGAATTAAAGAACACTCTTTTTTATATTTTATTTTATATAACCTTTTAAATTGATAAAAAAACTCAAAAATTTACTATTTTTACACATTTAACTTATTATAATATTTTCTATTAACATTTTAAATATTATACCGATAAATTATGTTTATTACTCTATCCATCCCAACTAAATTGTCTCATTTAGATTAGATATAAAGTTTTAGGTATCGTATAATTAGTAAGTAATTAAGAAGTATATTAATAAAAATAATTATGATTTTATAATAATAATTATAAATTAAGATTAATATGACTAAATAGTTTAACTAAAATAAAAAAATTATAAAACTTAAAAAGTGATTAAAGTGTATAATTATATATTTTTTTAAAAAAATATATTATGTGGGACGGACGAAAATAGAAATAGTGGACAAATTAAGTGGGACGGAGGAAACAGTTTTATTATTTGATCTAAAATAATATATATTTAAAATAAATAAATTAAAATTTTAATATTATTAAAAATATTTATATGAATTATAGATAAAAATAAGCAATATTATCTTATTAAACATAATATCAATTAATTTAAATTTAATATAAATCATTTATAGTTATTTTATCATAATTAATTAACTATAAATCTTAATAAACATTAAATAAATAAATAATTTCCTATAAATATCAAAAAATTATAATATGAATATATTATTTTATAAATAATAAACAAAACTAAAAACAATAAACGAGACAAAAATATAATTTTAAAATAAATTTTTAAAAAAATTAGAAAAAGCTAAAACTAAAATAAATAGAACATAAATATAATTTATAATTAAAAGTAAATACAAATAATAAAAATATTAAAAATAGCATCCTCTCATAAGAGATGGTGTAAATTGCATATTTGCACCTGGATTGAAGTTATTTTTTCCTCTTCACTCTGGAGAAATAGGAAAAAAGTGATACTTTAAATATGTACGGAGAGAATATTATATTTAGTTAATTTAGATTAGATTTGATTATGTCAATTATATTATATGGAAAAAATTATTTTTTATCTCAATATAACCAAAATTCATCAATTTTGGTTCAAATATAAAAATTTATTAATTTTGGTCTCAATATAATCAAAACTCATCATTTTTGGTTCAAATATAAATTTTTTTATCAATTTTAGTCCCAATATAACCAAAACTCATCATTAGTTTCAATATAATCAAACCTTATCTTCTTTTGGTACCATCCTCAACAAACCGACGGAAAATGCTGACGTGGACTTGCAAGATTATGCAATTTCTTCAAATATAAATATAAGGTTTGATTTATTTTCAAGTCAGCATTTTCCGTCGATTTGTTGACGGTGGGACAAAAAAGATAAGGTTTGATTATATTGGGACAAAAAATGATGTGTTTTGGTTATATTGAGACCAAAATTGATAAAAATTTTATATTGGGACAAAATGATGAGTTTTTGGTTATATTGGGACAAAAAATGATGAGTTTTAGTTATAGTAAGATTAAAATTGATAAAAATTTTATATTGAGACAAAAAATGATGAGTTTTTGGTTATACTGATATCAAAATTGATAAGATTTTTATATTGATACCAAAATTGATAATTTTGATTATATTGAGATCAAAAATAATTTTTTTCTCTATATTAAATTATTTTGATGCGAGTGTATGGAGTCCATTTACCTTTACTTTGATTAAATAAGATACATCATTGTCTACCAATCCTAATATATCATATTGAAATTGATTTCTGTAAAAAATTATGTTAATTTGTTCAAGCAAAGTACATGTTACAATGGTTTATGTTTACTAATCTCTTTGTCCCAGGAATATTGTCTTTTTATTTATTTATTTATTTTTATTCTACATAATCTCCACTCAATTATTAATTTAAATTCAAATTTATTTTTATTTATTGAAACGTATTTTAGACATTTTCATTTTAAACAAACTCACTCGGTAAACAATGAGACTATACACATGGGAAAGATGGAATATCTTTTAGTAATACTTTACTTCAACAATTCTATTTATATTTAAAAAATATATATTTATCAACATATATTATATAAGATACAAAAATAAAAAACAATACATTATCTAAATAAATGAGAGTTTAAAGAAGAATAAAGAAAAAGAGCACAAACCCCGTGGTTGCCTGAATTTTTTTTTTATTTGTTATACTGTACTCTTCTGTTCCATATTTATATATCCATTTGTTTCTGTGTGAAATTTTAGAAATATTAATATTATATTAAGATAAATTAGAAATAAAAATAAAAAGATTAAATTAACTTTATTAATATTGCATGATATAAAGGTAATAATATCTATTGTAAATTAGAAGGATACGTATAATGTTAGGGATATAATACAATTACTAAAAAAACGAAATGGATATTTTATTATAAGACGGACAAAAATAGAAAAATGGATAGATTCTCAAGGGACGGAGGGATATTACCTTTTAGCCTTTTTATATTTTATAAACCACATTTCCCAACAAATTGAGAATTGAGTAGGTTGAATTTGCATCTTATTTTTTATTCTTCAAATTTTATTTATTTATTTATAAAACTATCACATTTATTTTTTTTATACAAATAAATATATTTTAACGATAAATTGTCTCGCAACAAGTGAACCGACTTATTACTACACACATCTAAGATCTCCAACAATTATATATAGACAAATTATAAACAAGCACCATCTTCAAGTTCAACCATTAGTTATCATCAAGAAAATAAGATTTTCATGGCTATGGCTTTTAAATGTTCTTGGAGCCTTCTTCTCCCTAATTATCCAAAACCCATTTTTCACTACGTAGGAACCTCCTTTCTTGCATTACATCGAAATAAATCGAAGCACGAATCAAACCAAACTGCAGTAGTGAAGTTTACTACAACGTTAAAGCATCAAGATGACAGGAGTTTACCCTTCTTGTCAAGAACCACCACTCTAAAGGCTGTTTCCGGTGACCGCGACAATCCGGTGTCCGAAGAACTGATTATCCGACAAGAAAGGGATCATCCTGCAAGTTTCTGGAATGATGCTTTGTTTTCTGCAAAAAATCAGGTTATGTTCCAGTTGGCTTCGAGTTTTTATTTTCTTGAGGCATATACATGATCGAACTCGTGATTTCTGAGTACTAAATAATAAAGCGAAAGCTCAAGCTCCTGCAGGTAGATGAAACACAAACCAAAGCGGTCATTGAAAGATTGAAGGAAGAGGTGAGGAGCATGGTGATGAACAAGGAAAGTAAACCAAAGGATAAGATGATTCTCATCGACACAATAGAGCGTTTGGGATTGGCCTATCACTTTGAGAAAGAGATCGAGGACCAGATCGCACAGATCTTCGAATCTGAGATGGAAAATGAGGATAAAGACAGTGACCTTTTCACGACTGCACTACATTTTCGATTGTTCAGACAACATGGCTACAATGCTCCTAGCAGTACGTTGCTTCTGATCTTCATCGCATATATTAATATTTTCCTTAATCCAAGGTGTGATTCTATTTCAAATCGAGATAGTTTCTTGAAGATACACTGAAACATTAATTAATTCAAACATATATGACATATTTAATTTGTTAGAAAAATATAATATTTGTCCAATAACTAACATTCATTATTATTTTGATCCTTCACAAACATTTTCTTTTTTAAAAATATAGGATCATTAGAACGAAGACAAGTAAGATTTATGATCATTTACAGAATCCATTAAAATTAGAAACTTAATAATTGGTGTCCATTAAATTTAAGCTAACGTGACCGAGTGATTCTTAAAACAGGCGTCTTCAATAAATTTAAGGATGACGACGGGACATTCAATGAAGCCGTTTCAAATGACATCCAGGGTTTGCTGAGCTTGTATGAAGCAACTTATCTAAGGTATCCGGGAGAAGACATCTTAAAGAATGCCAATGTCTTCGCAACTTGTAATCTAAACCAAGCTTTGCCGCTATTGGAACCTCCTCTTAAAGAGAAAGTAGCTCGAGCTCTAATCCAACCACTTCAATGGTGTGTTCCAAGAGTCGAAGCACATTATTATATATCAGTCTACGCAAAGGAAGAGTCCAAGAATGAGTTGCTCTTAAAACTAGCTAAATTAGATTTCAACTTGGTACAGAATCTATATAGAGAAGAGCTATGCGAATTCATGAAGTAAGCAATGAATTCAATAAATATTATGCAAGAAAGAAAATAAGGTGAATTAATGGAACAAGTGTTTCATGGTCACAGGTGGTATAAAGGCTTGGACCTCAAGTCGAAACTTCCATATGCAAGAGACTGGCCAGTGGAAATGTATTTTTTTGGTACAGAATTCACTTTTGAACCTCAATACTCACTTGCACGATCTTTTGCTGCAAAGAGCTTTATCCTAATGGGACTCATAAACGATACGAGTGATAGTTACGCGACATATGAAGAAACAAAAATTTTCTTGGAGGTTCTGCAAGAACGGTAAAACATAGTTTAATCTCATTATTACATAAGGTAAAACATTACCTTGTAAACAAATAAGACTTTAAGTTCACTATACTTTCTTTTTGTTGTTTTTGTTGATGTCTTTTCAGGTGGGATATCAAAAAAATAGACAGACTTCCACATTATATGCAGATTGTTTACAAACTTGTCTTGAGTGCATATGAAGAGTTTGATCAAGAAATGTCCAAACAAGGCAGAAGTTTCGCAGTTTCTTATGCAATAGAAGAAGTAAGCATGCACACTCTCCTACTTTCAATAAAATCATTTTAGGAAGTTTCTTATGTTGTGTGGTCATATATGAAGCTGAAAATGCTTGTTAGAAGTTACCTTACAAGAGCCAAGTGGTGTATGGGGCTCGAGACACCAACATTTCAAGAGAGTATTTCCATTGCTTGCGTAGACAGTGCAGCCCCGGGAGTATTTTCATCGTGCATAATGGGCATGGAATTTGCCTCAAAGGAAGCATTCCAATGGCTTATGAGGAGGCCTAAAATTGTGGAGGCCACCGGTTTACACACTCGATTGAGTAATGACATAGCCAGCTATGAAGTATGTTTCACTTCCCGTTTCTCATACTCGAGTATATAAATCGCACACATTAATATCGATATCTAATTTACATCGATTGGCTTGAAGCGCGAGCACAATGCAAGTGGATTTCCATCTTCATCAATTGATTTCTACATGAAAGATTATGGTGTATCAAAAGAAGAAGCAATGGGTAAGGTTCGTGAGCTCGCCGAGGATGCAAGGATGGAAATAAATAGGGAATGGGTTTCAACAAAGGGTGTCCCCAGGGAGTTTCTGAAGCTTGCACTAAACTATGCACGGTTTACATTCCTATGCTACAATCAAGGCACAGATGCTGTTACATATTCAAAAACAGGGATAAAGAGCTACATAGAAGCAGTGATATTCAATCCCATAGAAATTGATGAATGAATACATGGTGTTGGGAGAATACTCCTGTTCTTTTATATTTAATAACATTGTTATTGTCATTTTATGTCCCTTTTAATATTGATTGTGTGTAATGGCAAGACAATAAAAAAGTAATTGTGGAGATTACACCTTTTTTTTTCCTCCTTGCAATTTAAAAAAACATCTGTAATCTTCTTCTTGTGGTAATATCTTTCTGTTTTCTATTTTATGTTATTCTTTGCTACTTTGATTATATTCCTTCTATCCTCTTCAACCTTGTTTAATTTTGATGCTCACAAGGTGTTTGGAAAAAGTCCAAACTGAAATCTGGTTTATTTGACATATGATTAATAACTCTTCCCAATCCTCATCTATTCTCATCTTTGATAGAAAGAACATTAACTGGTGGAGTATTCAAATGAGGGTGATCTTTTATTATCAATTTGTTTTCCTTTATAGAAGATGGATTTCTTGGGACTGACAAAAGCGAAATTGATGCTCAGAGGGCTACTCATCGTGAGAATAAAAAGAAGGAAAGAAAAAGACATCATATTACATTCACCAGGGTGTGAATGATGGAAATGTTTTACAAGATTGAAGGGGCAAATAACGTGAAGGAAACATGGAATATCCTTACAATGTCATTCAAAGGAGCCGATAGGGTAAAAAAGTTTGCCTTTAAACCTCAAGGTGTCAATACGAACTTTTGCACATGGAAACAACATAATCGGAGAGTGGCTATATCATTCGACTTTTAAATCTAATCAACCAAATGAAGGTTTTTGGAGAAAATTTATTTCGGTTAGTTAAAGTAGTGAAGATATCGCAACACTCACATCCAAATTTGAGCATGTTGCGGTGGGATAGAAGAAACCCATGATTTATCAATGATGATATACAGTGGAAGAGCTTAGAAGTACATTGCAAGAAAACGAGCAATGTAAGAACGAGAAAAGAAGTTAAAAAACCAATTGAGGTAGCTTCGCAAACTTAAGTCTCTATAAGATATATATGGTATTTATTCACAGAAAGAAAAAAAAAAAAAAAAAAAGCAAAGCAGTTTCTATGGCAGAGGACACATACCATGTGGTGGATTTTAGAATTTCCAAAGTCATATCTCCTTGTACTAATAACAACCTCGATATGGAGGCACATAGGATAATGATTTTGAAAATTCTGATTAGCACCGACATGCAAGAGGGCGCAGGCGTGGCTGTGAGAAATATGATAAAGTTAATATGGAATGCTTTTTTTATATGTGCTATATATATGATAATATTTTGCTATTTTTTGGACAATTTTTTGATGCGAAAATTTGTATATATATGCTCCTTATGATGTATTTTTTATAGGTTTCATGCCGTTGACAAGTTTTGGGGCGTATTTGGGAAAAAAGAAGCATAACGCATAAAGGTTTTAGATGTGATCACGCAAATACACAATGTAAAAGTTATGGAAATTTACAGAAGAAAGACCCTCAGGGCTAAATTGACAATATAAAGATCACGTGGGATTTAATTGCAAATGAGATCTAATTAAAAGAGGATCATGCGATGGACAATTAAGAGACACGATTTTGCAATTGAAGATGGGAGAGAAATGGACAACCACGTTCTCACCACGACATCAAACCTTTGAGGGAGAAAAGACACAATAAAGAACGCAGTGCAGAGAACTCCCGGGAGCAAGGAAGACAAACTTTGAGGGAATTCTTTCTTCATTTTTGAATTAGTTTCTTGTCGATTTTCAAAGATTGAAGGCATGATGAACTTCTATATTTGCTTTGCGTTTTCGATTTCCATGGATTGTGAGTAATTTATTTTCTAGTTTAAGTATGAGTTGAAGTTTGGGATATGAATTTGTATGACTTGGTTTTGATTTTAATTTGATGTTTATTGGTATTAGGTATATTTAATTTTTCTGATTGGCGAGATTAGAAATCTTAAATTGATATTTGTGGCTACGTATTAGTTTGAGATTTCATAGTTATATTGATGATTGACACCCATAATTGTGTTTGAAGTAGCAACATAGAGGAAGAATACTATATGAGGAATTAAAATCAATTTCAAACAAATCATTGTTGGAATTTGGTTAAATTGAATTGAGCCTTTCTAGTTCTCAATGCTGTCGAGTTAGCAATACTACGTTCGTATCTAAGATTCTCACTTGATTAGAGAAATAGCTAGCGGTCATATCTTAGCTATCGACAAAGTAAGGAAATGTTGATTGTGAACGCGTGTAGATCAACTATAACCAATTTATCCAATAAATCAATAAACTTGATTATGGTCAATGGACAAATTTTCATATATCGAACGGAAATTTGTGCCTAGGCTATAGTTTAATTAATTTTGGTATTTGGTTATATTTTAATTTAGTTTATTTTTTTTCTAATTTGAATTATTTTCCTGCTTATTTAGCCTGATATTCTCAAATCCCCCTTTTATATATATATATATATATATATACATTTAATTATAAGTAGCCAAGTTATCAAATCATTACTGCTTCTTTGCAGAGACGACCTTACTCACCATATCTATATTGCATTTTGCATTTTCTGTGGCATAGGAATTAATATTTTATTTTGCAAGTGTGCGACATGCGTACATTTTTCGTGTCATAAGCTTGGCTGTTATGATAATGAGTATATTTTCTTGGGAGGCTTAAACTTTGCTCTTGAACGTGGAATATTTTCTTCATTCTCTTCTTGAGGTTATTATGGTTTGTGGCAGCAGCTTGTGATGCAATCCTCTCGGCATCTTCTTCTTCAGCGATTAAATTGTTTATAACATCATCAATATAAACATCGATCAGCGATAAGTATATTTCCCCTACTTATTCCTTTGAGCTCTTTTAACCTATTTCTTTATTGTAAACTATTTCTTAGCCTTGGACTTTCTTTTGAAATTAGATCCAATTTGAACTCTAAGTTAGATACAATTATTTTAAGTCTATGGTGTTATACATTTGATTTATTCAGCACTAGTCAAAACAAAAAAAATTTGGGCATGACTAAGTGATCGATGCATTTAGGAGTAGTTTCCGCAATGGGTAGCGAAGATATAAAAAAACAAAACAAAAGAAGAAAAAAAGAAGCACAAACCAAAAAAAAAAGAAAAAGAAAAAAAAAAAAAGGTTTGCTCAGAGTGACGTTAAGTTGAAAGCAAAAATATCTTGAAGGTGGAAATATTATTGATACGAGGATGTTATTGAAGTTATAGATAGTAAATAATAGTTAAGGGTTTTATTGTGTATGACAAACTAATTTCTATGTGCTGGCATTATATTTTTAACCTGTTAGTTTTTTATATTTATTTTATTCTTTATTTGTTCTTATTCCTACAGCTAAGCCCATTACAACCTATATTAAAGACCTCTTTGATTCTTTATGTTGAATTGGAATATCTTAAGCCAAAGAGATTGATTTTTATTTAAACCTATTCGATAATCTTTTGTTGCACTACTTGAACATTGACCCACTTATACACTTATTTCTTACACAGCATTGGTGGATAGACTTTATTTTGTGAAGTTGACTTAGCTTGATAGGTAGAATTTCTGATTGATTTGGTCGTGTGGGATTTTCTTGTTATATTGAGTCGCATGAAATTTTTTAGCTTATTTTGAATCAATGCTTGAAGACAATCATGATTTAGGTGTAGAGGGAATTCTTAGTTAGAAATTGCATACCATATATTGAAAAGAAAAATAATGGAAGAAAAACTCAACATTGAACCACCTAGTAGTCATAGTCATGGCCATAAAGCATCATAATTGAATGATTCCTTGAGCTAGACACTCATTTTATTAGATAGTCCTTCAATAAATTAATTGTTACCTTATTTTATTTTAATACTTTATTCAAAAACTCTCTATTTAATTTTCAGAATCAAACAGAAAAGAATATATCACACAATCTCGGTGGAGACCACCCATTCCCCCTATAGTATATTTACTTGTGATTACCGAGTAAGTGAAATATTTGATTGACTGTGCGACATATCAATTGTTATTATTGTTGTTGTTATATGACCGGTTGTATGATCAGTCAAAACAATTTACCTACTTTATTCTAAAAAATTAATATAATACAAGGGATGGATATCTTTACAGGGATGATGTGATGATTCACTTTCTTATGTTTAATGTGGTAAATAAAAAGAAAATTTGTTTTCATTATCTAATAAAATAGAATAACAAAACAGTTATTTAACGGACCACAGTCCATCAATAAAAGTGTCTGATTCAAGGGACAATTCAATTATGATATTTTTATTTTACCATGTTTTTCTTACAATATAGCTAATAAACCTTGGCATGCCTAAAGAATTATTGCCTAATCGTCATTTTAATATAGAAAATCCAATTCAAAGCAATTACTACCTAATTGTAGGCATTAAAATAAGAAAATAAATAATTTTTTCTAAAATTAAATATCATATATTTTAGGAGAAAATAATATCCAATAAAATAAATATATGATATGTATATATGTATATTGGATTTTGTATAATAATTATCAACTATTAATACAAAATATGTTAAGAATGGAAGAAAATCATACAAATCTCATATATGCATATATATATATATAGTCCTTGTATTTTTTGTTGTAAATTAAATAAATCTCATCAATAAAGGAACTATTATAACTAATATCTTATGATAAAGAAAATGATATAAAGATCTTGAAAAGAAAGGAAGACACGCAATCAAATCCTTCAAAAATAGAAAATGACATCCGATGAACAATGAAGGATCACAAAATTTTTTCATCGGCCAATCGGAATGCGCCATGTGGTATCATCCGAAAAGGAAGCCGAGGCTACCCCTCCCATATACATAGTGGTCTTTGGCCGATTCATTTGATACACCGGAGTTCATTCGAGAACTCGAGCAAGTAAGTCTCTCTAGACTCTATGCATTATTTTTCGTATTTTTCATGTCATTCAAAGCATTCTTCATAGATAAATAACCAATTTTAATATAAGTTGACAAATCGATGAAGTTGTTCT